ACCTATTTATATCTAACTAACTGGTCAAATTCATTTATAATGACCTATTTATATCTAACTAACTGGTCAAATTCATTCTAATGAAATTGGAAATAGAACCTAATTTTAATTAGAAAGAACTCGTATTATTTTATCATTTTATACCCGTGCTATTATGAAATGAATGAATTATATATACCTTACTCAAATTGTTTATAACCTGCTCAACTTATAGCTTGAAATCCAGTTTATGTGCTATGTATGTTATATTAAAATAAGTTTTAAACCACAAATTAATCATCTTGAACATGATAACATTTTAGTAATTATATCTATTAATAATTAATATTATTGGCCATCTTGAATAGTATTAAAGAAACTAGTGTTGCAAACTTGTCATTATTACTTTTATTTATGCACAATGCAAAATCTTAATGATATTACTACAAGGGTAAGAAATACAGTATGCTAATATTTATAATGAATGAACGAATGAAGGAGACATTTGCTATTGTGATGTTTATGAAATGTCAACGCTAAAAAATGGTAAATGAAGGAAACATTTGCTATTGTGAAGTTTATGAAATGTCAACGCTAAAACATGGTAAATGAAGGAGACATTTGCTATTGTGATGTTTATGAAATGTCAACGCTAAAAAATGGTAAATGAATGGAATTCTTTTTTGTTGGATGTACTAGTACTATTGAAATATGACGTAAACTTCAAGTTAAAAGGAAATCTAGCGTCGCGTATTAACAAAAAAATAATTATATATATATAGAATTTAAATAAAAAAAAAAGAAATAGAAACAAGGCATTTAATTTATACTCCAAATCATTAATTAGAAATTTCTTTTAACTGTTCCAAAAATTAATGTTCGCCCATGAATACTCATTAAAAATGGTACCAATGAAACAGTTAGTACGGCTAATCCTACTATCATGAATCCTGTTCGTAGATCACTAGCATAAGCCTTGAAAATTGCTGCGAATATTAAACCCCCAATATTACCTCCTGCTCCTACTAATCCTGTAACTATACCCACAGCTGCTGGATCAAGATAAGGAACTATACCAAATGAAGTACCACAACAAGCCTAATAATATATTTAATAATAATTAATTATTCAGTCAATTAATTATATAATAATTATAAAAATAAACACTTATATTTACCTGGGTGAATAAAGAAAAACACCCCATTAAGACAATAGCTAATACAAAACTTCCGCTCATAAATTTAAAAAGAATTAAAAATGCTCCTTGGAGGAAAAAACACAAAAATTGGGTCAATAATCGACCACGAATACCTATGGTTTTATTTGCAAAATCGGAAGTTAGACCTCCAGCAACACGAGAAAAAATGTTCAAAAGTCCAAATATTGAACCATATAAACCAGCCGTAGTTTGAGAAATATCAAATGCAGAATAAAAAAAGATTACAATAACATTATCAACAGCTACTTCCACTCCAAAGCAACATGCATACATTACCATCATTAAAACTACATTAGGATTAATGAAAACAAGAAGGTAATGAATTAAGACAGGAATTTGATGAAATTCTATATTATTTTTTGTTTTAGGTTGTTTTGAATCCTTTTCTCCAAATTGAACATAACCTTCATTGGGTTGATCACGATAATACCAATCACCTTCCGGACAATCATCACTAAAAAAGTAACAGCATATACCGACCAGTAAGCATAGAAAAGCCGGAACAAGCATAGATAGACGCCAAGCCATACGTTCAGGAAAGAAGATATTAAATCCCTCAAATACTAAAGGCATAAGTAAATAAGTAACACCACCACCCATATTACCCCAACCTGCGGATAATGCGTTAGCACCACCTACAGTATTTGGACTGAACATTTGAGTTGTCCAGAATTGACAAGGTACAAATGTCGCGCCGAGAATACCAACAAAGAATCGGAAAGTAATTAGAGAAGCGGGACCTTGTGATAAGCTGACAAGAGCAGTAGGTATGGCACCTATGATAAGTATAGCAGACATGACACGTCTCGCACCGAATTTTTCGCATAACGGACCAGACAATATACGAAATATTATGGTTGAAGAAACAGAAGCTATATTACTATCACCAATTTGTGCATCAGTTAAATTTAAATCCTCTTTAATCGTAGGTAATAAGGGAGCAACGGCGAACCAGCCCGTAAAAGCAGTAAGGAAACAAAACCATGAGAAATGGAGAGCTCGCATATGAGGTCTAGTGAAATTTAATAAATTAATGTCGGTAGCCTTCCTTGTTGCTGGATCAACAGGAGGCCTTCTTGTTATAAAATTAACCATGATTTTTTCGGTTTAGGAAATGACTGAAAAAAAGCTCGGTAACTCGTAAAAATAAAAAAGACTAGTTGATCTCTCAAGGAGAATTTTTTCTCAACACTGCAGATTTTAGCATTTATGAAGTGTGACGACATTCATAAAAACTGTTGCACTGCTTATACTTTTTCAAAAAAAGATTTTTTTTTTTTTTTTTTATGTTTTAAGTAATATGACTTAAATATAACAAGTGTGACTTTCGGATAATTAAAGTTTTAATACGTAGAAATTAGAAATTCCTTCAAAATTTCTATATAGTTTAAGTTGAATTAAAATGAACCTAAATTAAGAATTTATTCGTAACAAATATAATATTGCGTGGTTTGGTTTGATATGATATGACAATAAACTGTTTGATATGATACAACAAGATAATGTGCCTTATCATTTAGCACATGATTTTGAGCAACCTGAATAACAGATATACCATATCGGATTGTTTTGTTTACTAACCGTTATCTTTGTTTGTCGTTCACCTCATATTGTCCAATTACCATTAAAATATTAATTCATGTGCATTATTTCTCACAAATAGCGTTACACACATTATATAAATCCGATGATAAGTTGGTTTCAAGCGAAAGAATCCGGTTCTTCTTGATAGATAATTAATCGTTTCACGGTTTAAAGTTTTGTGCATATATGTAATACATGAGTTAAGTTGTACATAATTGCTGATAACGAAGAATTCCTCGACCTTTTAAAGCCTAGATACTTGGATCAAGTAAAATTATTTGCTTCTCATGGTTCCTTCTTTTTTTTTTTTCCTACCTTCATTAATTACCGATTTAGTACCCTTTACTACCATAATAAATCTGAAAAGATCAATTGAATAGTATGGCTGATATATTGGATTTAGGCTTTATAGGCCTAAGTTTGCTTATCAACATTGCATGTTTCATTCCTCTTTTATATTTTGGCATCATGAAGTTTACCTTCCTACGACTTTCATGGTAAATTAACTATTTTTAAATCAGTTATTTTATTCATAAGTTTTTTTAACTAATCAATTTTTGATTAAATTTTTATTAAATCATTAGCATTGTATCAAATTTAGTCAATCTCGCCATATGTGGAGCGAATTTGGCACGAATTATATATCCAAATTTTCCACTTATGTATTATTGGATTGGATATGAAGCCATTTCAGCCATTTATGCAACCATAATATGGACATGTCTTTTGCTTACCGGATCAAGATTTTATCGAGAAACAAGTTTTAAGGAACCATTATTAATATTTAGTATTATTTCATTATTAACCTTAAATGGTATATATTGGGTAACCGCTGTTCTCAGCTTTAAGCAAATGAAATCAGAGCCGGAATTGATTATTTTAATATTTCAAGCAATTTTTTGGATGATATGTGGAATGTGTTCATTCATTTATACATTTACACCAATTTTAACGGTTCATTTTAATCATATCGGTTTAAAAGCAAGATTTGATGTTGAAATGAATGGAGATATTAATTGTAAAGAAGATAATGATACTACTAGTGATTCATTTGATACCATTCCTTCAGTTAGAAGTTTAAACGATGCAAAAGGACAAAAATATTCTATTAGTTCTAAGAATGCTGCAGTAGGATCTTGGTATATGATCACTATAGGCTTCTTAACATTAGGTTATGCTGTCTTTTATATTATCATCTTTATCACACCTCCATTTGTACCTTATCATCCGATTACCAATTCGGTGGATTTTATACTTCGAGCCATTTATTTGGGAGTTTACGGCATACCTCCAACAAAAGGGTTATTGAACTGGGTAGCAAAAAATGTATTAGGAATTAAAGGAATTTTAACATCATTCAAAGCAACTGAACATACTAGTGAACAGAGTGATTCATAATTTATTAATTCATCGACGACAAAGACTGAATAAAAATCACTAGATTCATGTAGAACATGATGAAATTCATGAAATTAGATTTTTTTTTTTATGGAAATGTTTACAGTCATCAATTTTTTTTCTCACACTTGGCATACATAATAATGTACTTTTTCCCTTGCATAATAGCAATGTAATTTTTGTAGCATGTTCGTGTATTCATACTTTTTTTTTTGAGTGAATTTAATTCAGTATATATATAGTATATATTTAAATAAATAAATTGAGTAATTTCTTCCTTGTACTTCAAATTATATTATATATATTTAATAATTTTAATTAAATTAATGTCCTTTAAATATTAAGCTTTACGTGAAAAATGTATAGTAGTATTATAAATGTTAAATATGTTAAAGTGTTAAGGTTTTATTAAATGAGTTTTTGTTTTGAAATGACTTTATTGAACATAATACGTACACTGGCGATCATAAGTAGTGCAACAAAAAAAAATTTTTACTTAGATCGCATTATTTCCCGCAATTCTGGGTGTA